GCGTAAAGCGCTTTTGGTCAATTCACGTCTAGATGAGAGGACTTTCAAAGCCACGTTGAGTCATGGGGCTATTTGACCATACTTCACCATGCTCATCAATGCAGACTGTTGAAGACGGGGAGCTTACAGGTGGTAGCGTGGAAGTACAGTACAGACAATTGGTTTTGCTGCATTGCCCTCTGCTGCCCCGAAAGTAGTCTATAACAACCTGTAATGCATGGTGGTCACAACCGTTCAAGCACTAGTCAGGCTCAATTCCGCTGACATAGTATGTGCTCTGGCAAATTACAGGTGATTTTGGTCATATACAAAGAAAATGTAGTGCCAGGTAAATTTAAAACTACTGTATGGGCTATGCCAATGCACAGCAAATGACCTGCTCTTGCAAACGATGTTACAGGCTGTTTACGTCTGCTGTACAGCTTGACGTCTCGGGGACTGGTGCTTAAACGTGTCAACGGCACACGGCGCTAACTGCGTGTGACTCTTTGATTGACAAGTTACCGCTGTGTGCACACAACTTTGTTCCTTCACTGAAATTGCTTCCGGCTTACATAATTTTTTCTCTCTCTCTCTCTCACACAAACACTAATTCTTGTTCTATGCAGGTAGTTGTTGGGGGCAAATATTTTTGTGCTGCGTGCAGGAAGCCTGTCGGAAGTGAAAGAGGGTGTTTCTTAATGTAACTCTAGTTACCGTCCGTTTTGATACATTGGCCTCTTTCCAGTCAGCACTGGTGCCAGTGCCCAAAGCTCTACTGAAGCCCCTGTGTGGTTCAGCCAGAGCTAACATATGTAGCTTTTTTTTAGTGAGAAAAAAATACTTTTGCTTCTTTCACAATTTCCATAATAGCAATAACAAAGCAAAAAAAACCCATTGCTTTTTAGTCTCAATAGTTTAAAGCCTCAAAACAGTGATGTTCTCTATATTAAATTATGGAGTTATAATACCAATTGTCAGATTTTGTCAATCCACTGCTGGATGAAGGCCTCCCCACTGTACGTCGGTCATGGGGGTTATACTAAATAATGCTGATCAGTCAAACTTTTTGCAGGATGGCCAGGTCCGGTTCAGATATCACTTGCCATTGATCTTAGCTGTGACTGGGAATCGGACTCAGTTTGCCTGATTCATCACGCAATATGCTAACCGATGTGTCACCACTCAACCCTTGCATAATAGCACTGTTGCAAAAATATTGTCCATAAAATATCGCCTATAATTTAACAATAACCAAAATTTCACTAAATATAAATCTCATAATTGTCTGAATAACAATTTTATCTTGATCATATTTCATGCTCTGCCCATTTGAAGCTGTAATTGACATAAGTGTTGAATGTTTAAAAAAAAGTGTTATGTAAGTGAAAAAAAAGTTTAATTCATTTTAAAACACCGATACCAAAAGTGAGCACAACATTGAAATCAATTTAGTTGGGATAAATTTGTTGGCCAAATTTGTCAGTTAATCGATTTGTGGAGCAGGATTTCAAATCGGTTTAAATGAAAGTAGCATCGTACAATCGCAGCCCATAGTCAAAGATTGAATCAGAATCGGAAATCGGATTATTGGCTAATCAGGGCAATGGCTAGGGAAGTGGGCAAGCGAGAGGGAGCATGGAAGGATATGTGCCTGCTGGCGACATTTGAGGGACCAGGGTATTTTGGTCGATATCCATTTTAGTGGCACACTGCTTTAACTCGCTCGCACACAGTGAATACAGAACACAAAATGCAGCCGCTAAAGTTGGGATGCAAAACTCTTGTGACCTCAAGACCACCTCAGTCAACTCTGTTTGCTTGTGTGGGAGTATTTCAGGAGGCTGTTTATTTGAGTGGGAGTGTTTAAGGGAGGTATTTTTGTAACAATAATTTAAGAATGTATGCTCATAGACGGAGCCAGGTGGCTCAGAGGTAAAATCTGTGAGCTTGCACCGCCGAAATATGAGTTCAAATCCAGGTTTCATTTAACTTATTAAACCAAGTTTTCAAGCGCTGTGAGTTGAGGATCTCAGATTGGTTGCCGATGATTGCACACAGAAAGTTAAGGTAAGTTTGGTTTTGCATTTGACATGGCCAAATTTTAGCTGTGAGGAAAAACAAATATCAGTTTGACTATCATGCGACAAGCATTACTCTCTGCATCAGGGTGGATGGGAGAGTGCTGCCCCCTACTGCGTGGACCAGAGGTCATTTTAAGGGATTTCTGAAGTAGCTCTGTGATATCTCCACTCCGTGGGTCTCTCTAAGATAAAGGGCTGCACTTCCTTCGCGAAAGATCCGAACGGATACGTCATCTCATGACGTGACATCAATAGCATAATTTTAATGAGGGAAAAATACAAAAAGTGTCAACGGCTATAATGGATACAGCACATATGAATTGTCGTGGTCATGTAAAAACAGCAGCAAGTGCAACTGGCAGGGCAGAAATTGCGTGGAAATGTAAAGTAAGATATTCACGAGTAAATTAAGACCGCTGTGGGCAATAGCAGAGCCAGGATTTTCAGGTAGGAGGGGGCAACCCCTCCAGCAATGAAAAATGATAGAGGAGTTGTTAGCAAGTTAGGACTTGTCCCTTGCTTTTTATTCAAACCGCGTTGTGCGATCGGCATCGCGCTCGCTGAAGGTGAATGCCTTCAGGGAAGTCGTGTACTGTATACGTAACTGCGCACAATTATGTGAATCACTTATAACTGCTTTGCCGTTACTTATTGCCAATTATGGACTCAGACTATTGTCCTATCATCTCATAGAGTCCCTGGCACATAATAATATGCTACACAGTGACAGTGGGGGGGTCGCAAAATGCCGATTTATTACGAATAAACCCCAATTATGCGATCGAAATTAGGGATTTCGATCGGATCATTGGGGGGGGGGGGGGGGGGCACGTGCCACCCCCCTCCCCCCCCACTGGCTCCGCCAGTGGCTGGTGGGTGATATTTAGAGATGCAGGGAACGGGAGCCAGTGGCTGGTGGGTGATATTTAGAGATGCAGGGAACGGGTAGGTAGGTGTCAGATCTGGGAAGGGGCTGCATGCAGTTGCCCGGCCCTAACTAATCCCACCGTCACTACGGCAAACAAAAAACGCAACTCTCTCCGTGACACCGCCGCTACCAACGCGGGCGCTCCGAGGAAGTGGCCGAGTTCTGGGCATTCTTGTGAAACATTCCTCGGGTCTTTTGTGGGCGACGCCTCGACGACGCTAACGAATTTATTTATTTATTTTGGTGGGGGTGGACCGTGGGGGCACTTCTTCAAAACGGACGATGCAAGGTCCTGTGCTGCCCTCTGGAGCCCTAAGGTGCGCGTGGAGATGTGAGTGCTGTGGGCGATGCTGATTGTATGTATTTCGCTTTTGATGGGCTGAGTGTCTTTTGTTCTTGATGGTTTGGCTTGTAAACTCAATCCGTTTAACGTACGGCTGTTTATAACGTCTAAATGGAGACTGTATCTCAATAAAGACGCTGTACAGAAACGACGCACACAACGTTAAATTCGCAGAGACGGTCTGCAGCCATAACTCCGACCAATGACACGCAACAGTCATTCGGGACGAATTACCCGGTGAAGCTCGTGTTGGTTGAGTAACACAAAGATCTGCTGAAGTTGTGAAAAACACAACTGTCTGGGTGGGTATAGAGGTGCCGGTTAGATGACAGCACAGCAAGTAGGATTGCTGGCGCGTCCTTTGCGGAATTGGAACATTGACCTTTCATGGACACGGGGAGCCACTCTGGTTTTCATCAACGTGACTTTTGGCCAACAACATAGGGGTTGTACTTAAATGAGTAATTTTGAGTAAAGTAGCAATACAAATGAAAAAACAAAATGCTAAATAATGAGTGTGCAAAAATACTGTAGCCAATTTACATATGAAAGGGTAATTCAAAACTACAAAAAACCTTCACCAAGTCCAAAATAAGAGATTTACGGAAGTTATAATCTACGGTGCTACCTTAATTGCCACGCATCCAAAGGAGCATTCCAAATACACGGGGAATACAAACACATTCCTGCGGAGGGAGCTGGTAGGAACGTTGGGTGTGACCTTAATTGTCGCAAATATGCCCGACTGTGAGGGCGGGCACAAGCCGGCGTGTGTAGGTTAAACGTTGAGTTTTATAAGGGCACCACGGGGTGACCAGCCCCTCCCCACCCTCCCCACCCTCTCCCCTCCCCACCCTCCCCACCCTCCCCTCTCCAACCAGCCCCACCCCTCCCATTTTATCCGGGTGTCCGGATACACGTGGACAGACATCCACAGACATACACAATTAATCCCCTGCCTCCTGTGGATTAATCCCGGTTGGGCTTCCAGTCCACTACGTTTCCTGCCAGTAATACTATGGGGTAAAGGTAAAGCGACAGCGGAGGATAACAATATAATCTAGTAACTTCTTAAAGTTTACCTGACATCGTTTCTTAATTTAATACATAGAAGCAATACGTAATAATAATAAAAATGTGCAGTGCAATATGCTGTTTGGATGCACATTAGTGCACTTATTTTAACGCTTCTATCCCATAAAGTGAAGCAGAGTCATACAAGTCATCTGTCTATTTACTGTATTTCGTTAAGAGTTTTTTTTTACTTCAGTGACACATCAAATGTGGACGTGATGTATACAATATGAATATATGTACATCATACCCGTCACCCCGTATCAGTGCCTATCTCATAACAGACCAATTCAAACCCTTATTGGTCACCCCGTGCCCCTTATAAATCTCAAAGTTCATCCTACAAAGTCCCATCACAAGGTGAAGAAACACAAACAAATGGATACAAAAAAATAATATTTTTTGTTCCCCATATTAAAACGGCTGTACACCGTATGGACCTGAAAATGCAATTTCCCTGTAAAAGAATACGGGTAGACCGTGCGGGTGGACATCTGTGAATAACTCCCATCACAATTCACGGCCTGTGACCACAAATCACTCTCGACGCGCCTTATCAGAAGCTCAGCAGGCGTTGAGCCTGCCCAATGCTGGGATGGGTGCAATATAAACCGGTTAATCCGGGTTCCTGAGTCGGGGGCGGCTACGCTGTGGGCTGCACGATGTACGTATGCGTCCTCCGCATCGCTTTATTTGCCGGCTTTTTATCAAATCGTGGGGAAGTATAACCAAACAGTACCCACACGCACAACTTTATATCAGGCGCCTGTTAGCCCCCCACCACCATCTCATCCCCAGCAGTGAGTGGGCTGATAAAAAAAACAAAAATGTAGGGCAAGGCCTGTAGAGTCACATCAATGATAACAATTAACAATGCAGCGAAAGGGGGGGGGGGCATCGATCCATTTGCCTTGCACCGACCCCACAGCCTCCTTTCTTTGTTGTTTAGAGCCGCTTACTGTGGTTAGAAATTGGGGCGGGGGCGGGGGGGATTATGTTTCGTTGGCGGAACGAGCCCGGTCGGGTAAGCGCAATGGTGCCCAACAAAAGCAGAGGCCTGAGGGGCGGCGAAGAGGCTCGGGCCGACTCAAACACGCGGCGGAGGGATCTGTCGGCAGGCAGCGGCAGTTGCGGTGGGGGGGATGAGACCGGATCTCATTTTCCTTTCAGCGTCCGTTTTTTTTGTGTGTGGGGTGGGGGGGTGCCTCTTGTTAGAAGAAAAACATTGTTTTACTTCGCAATTTAATTGCTTATTCCCCTCCTCCCCCCCCACCACCGCACCTTCCTGTTGTTGTACATAACGACTGGAACTTCTCAATAGGTGGGCTCGCGCGGGTGGGAAGAACGGCGGCGAGCGGGCTGTGATGTCGTCCATGCTGCCGTTCACGCCGCCCGTCGTGAAGCGCCTGCTGGGCTGGAAGCGCGGCGAGCCGGGCGGCCTGGAGGACAAGTGGAGCGAGAAGGCGGTGAAGAGCCTCGTGAAGAAGCTCAAGAAGAGCGGGCAGCTCGACGAGCTGGAGCGCGCGATCGCCGCGCAGAATAGCTCCACCAAGTGCATCACCATCCCCAGGTAACTGGAGCTCTGTGCACGGTGACGGCCCTTAACCGCTTGCGGCCTCCTGCCCGAACGCGCAGCCTCGGCCTTGCCTGGAAGCTGTGCTCACGGAGGTGCCCGGCGAGGCGGCCGGGAGAGCTAGGCGAGACCGGGGATGTTGCTGGGTTTCGGGGGTGGCGGAGGCAACCGCGTTGTTGTTAATGTTGTTGTTGGTCGCTAGAAATGGAAATGAACAGCGTTTGTTGTTTCTGTTTGGGAGTTTTGTTCATTGTGAGCGAGTCGACCAGGAGTCGTGTTCGTGGTTTGCGAGGGGGGAAGAGGTTTTTTTGAGATGGAAGCTGAAGTTTTGTGCGATGACGCCGCCGTTGATGTGCGTGGAACTCGCCGTGCCGTTGTCTCGTACCGTTTTGTACCTCTTAACGGAACAGACTGACGTGACTTCACGGTGGGTGGCTTTCGAGGGAGAAGAACATACATTAAGACACTGTTCTAGAGACAACACGATGTCCTGCACTGTATGGTGTGTACTGTGTTGTGTTTGTGCGCGTCATGCGTGTGTCCGCCTTGTTTTGCATGTCCGTGTGCATTGTTTGCGCGCCCCGTTTTGTCCTGTGTGTGCCTTGTTTATTTACTAGTCCTGTAAGTCGTGTGTGATTTGTGAGAGGGAGTGGGTATGTGGTCCTTATACTGCATGTGGCCTGTGTGTGTGTTTCTGTTCGGGAGTGTGTCCTGTGTAAGGTTTGTGTGCTTTAAACTTGATTTGAAGCTTTCGTGGCTGCAGGAATTACTCTTTGGTTCTTTCGGGAGGGATAAAACGGACACGGAGACACACAGGCAGACACACAAGCAGAGAGAGACAACACAGAGACACAACATAGACGCACAGTGTCTATGCGTGTGTCTGTCTCCTTGTCTGTGTTTTTTCCCTCTCAATTTTAGTTCTACCTGATGACGATTGCTTGTGTTGTAATCGTATTATATTATTTCATGTATTTTCCTTCTACGTGACTTTACCGAAAGAACCAAAGAGTAGTTTGTGTGCTTTGTCGTTCTATGTTGGAGTATGCCCTGTGGTGTGTCTTATGTGTGTCATGTGTTCCCTGTATGTATCCCTCGCCCCAGTGTTGTCAGATCTGAGGGGGCAAACTTCTGGGTACATGTAAAACAACCGCCAGATTTGTAAACTAAAACTAGCACGTTTTGCAAAACCTCTAGAATTAAAACAAATCTGCAGTGCAATATTTGGCAATCACAGACCTAGTTAACCATCTCGGTAACAAGAAAAGTAATATTTACACCCCCTGAAACTAACTTAATCTCGGTACGAATTTTTCTTTAAACAAATGCAATTAACTTCTCGGGATGAGAAACAGAACAGTCTGGATCTTAGAGCTCCAGAGGTAAAACTGCTGATCTGGGGAGGTAACCGCGCCTTGAGGCGCATGTATTTAAACACCCGTAGCTGCCAGTGTCGTCCCCAAGCACCCCCTGTTCGTGCTGTTGCACCGACTTGAAGTATGAGTGGCCGGTGAGTGTTGTTTTACACCACACTACCATTCACAACATGCAGTTCAATATGGGGAAGCCTTGTTGGTATTATAACGTGATGGCAGCTAGGCCGTATTGTTCACCGTGAAGTGCCTTTGTTGGCATTGCACCAGTTTTAAGTGTATGCATTGCCCCAGTTTGTTTAAGTGTTTGCATTGTCCAATGTGTAATGTTTGTGCTCATTGTTAATGGTTTCACGGTACATATTTGCGAATACCGTTTTAGATGACGGCAACGTTTATTTTATTTAACACATCTAGTATGGTTAAGGAATTTAACCCTGCACGCAGAAACGCCAACCAAATCAGTATGTGGAACTTTTGTTTTGTTCCTGTGAAATTTTATCAGAACATGGCATTGACTCGTAAATCCATTTTGGAAAACCTGCTTTGAGGGGGGAACTGCAAAGAGCAGCTATTGCAAAACATGCAATGGTTCATGTGTAGGGGTTTGACAAGGGGCCACAGCTTGAAATCAGCACTGCCCCTCTGCCTCAATACAGGTGGAATGCAACAAGTTGGGGTCTCGTACCTTTTTTTGTACACTGTACTGTATTTTTCTTTTGGAGCATACCTGATAACGCATACAAGTTACCAACAGAGACCTCGTTTGTAGATGTGGATCAGGTATGCTGTGTGGTCTCATTGATGTTTTAAAATAATCTGATATCTGATGTACGTATACTCACTATCTTCTAAGCCTTTAGTTGTTTACTTTGAAAATACATACTGTGGCAATTAACACCTCCTAGATAAACTGACGATGGGTATACGTGATATTTAATTAAACTACAAGATTCTTGTACTGTAAGTTTTAACGGTTTTGTGCACTACACATTGCTACTGCTTTGGCTTCTGTGGTTGAAAGTGTTTTAAAACATTGTTTAACAAGTTGCCAAGTGTTTAATTCATTGCCTAATCAGCCATAGAATCTGTGCCATGGGTGAGTAAATGTGGCTTGGGCAAATTCTTTTGACTTGAAATAATGGAACCACTGACAAATTAGAAAAAAAGTATCTCATTGTCAAAATGTTTTAAAATGTTGCTGCATATAAATGTATTTTCTTGTTTTGAACGCCATACTCAGCAGTTTAAGAAACCCTGTAGGAGTAAGTTTGATGGTTGCGAGACAAATTGCTAGTATCTTTGGGCATAACACTAGTACACAAAGGACCACTCTTTTGAACTGCATTGTGCGGTCCTTGTATGTATATGGAGAAGCCCCCTCCAATATAAATGAAGTTCATATGCAGTCATAACTTTTCCTCAACACATTACAGGGACAAGAGTGTTTCAGCTGGCGTACCTTGGAGTCGGAGGCAAGTGCCCTGCATCTTTGCTACTATAACCCAAGTTTGCTGTAAACAAAGCAACCACCAATTCCAATTGCACTCTGGTGCAACATTGATGGTTGGTTTATGGAGGAAGGTGTCGCTTGAAAGTTATGTTTTTTGATCCAGAGCATAGACAGCCTACTCATAAGTCATGTAATAGTGATGTTTTAAAAGGGCTGGATTATTTATGCCTCATTCCTGCCCAGTTTCAGGATGTTTGCAGTAGAAGTTTGGTGTCGGGTGCACTGATTTTATTCATTTGCCTTCTATGCAGTGAGGACAGGACCAATCGGACGTTTACTTAAAAATACACTTTTTTAAAGCATTCTATTTACATATAAACATTGTTTGTGGTTCATTTGGCCATTAAACTGCCACATTCGTATAAAAAAAAACATAACACATTAATCAACAACACTGCCTAAAAAGCAAAACTAATAGGTGAAGTTTTGGGCAATAGCCATTTATCAGAGCACATAAAATGATAGGTAACCTTATAACCTGAATGGTGAGATTATAGTCTGATTATTAAAAGTGAACCATGGTGCCTTTTTACTTGTTGATGCAGTCAGTGTTTTTGAGGTTTTATGGAGCAGTGCACAAAGAGATGGAGAAAAAAATATAGCAGTCTTGGATGCAGGTCCAAATCACTCGGCCATCCCCAGCTCCTGTTAACATGTTGTTGATTTATTAGAATTTCATTTGCTTTTCTTTATTTCGGTACCATTCACTATTTCAAGGCAAAGTGGAACTCGTATTTTGCAACAGTGTAGCGGTCTCCAAACTTAACAATATTAAGCATGCTCTAAATTTATATCTTCATTAGAAACTCAAGGCTTAGGAGGATGATGACCTCTTTGAAACTGCTCTCCAATGCATAGGTTGGTTACAATGAGCAACATAATAGCATCTGTAAAACTTGAGGTTCCCCGCACTCGTGAAAGCTAATGAGCAGGGCGGTTGTTTGTTTTTTTTCCTTGCGGTTGCTCCTCCTTCACAACAGAGTTCCCCCCTTCCCTGCGCAGTCGAATGAACATTGCCTTGTGGTGCGGCCCACTGTGCGGTGCCGTGTGGCGGCAGGTCCCTGGACGGGCGGCTGCAGGTGTCTCACCGCAAGGGCCTTCCGCACGTCATCTACTGCCGGCTGTGGCGCTGGCCAGACTTGCACAGTCATCACGAACTCCACGCAATTGACGCCTGCGAGTTCGCCTTCCACCTTAAGAAGGACGAGGTCTGCGTTAACCCCTACCACTACCAGCGCGTCGAGACTCCCGGTGAGTGCTCATTTTGTTCAGAGCAGTGTGGCATTTGGCATCACCGGTAAACATTAAAAGCAAATTCCAAATTGGCATGGCCAGGATTGCCAGTTATTTTTCGAGCAATTTTATAAAAATTGTGCAGTGTTATGTGTCAGTCGTTTTCATTGTGGCGGCTTTGCCACTTTTGCCACGTTTGTGACAAGTTCCGATGTAGCTGAGAGCTTGAAATAATGGTCTTGTGACTGGGTAGTCATGAGTGGATTCTAAGTAGCCTTTTTTGTTTTGTTATTGTTGTTTGGTGGAAGCAGTGCTGCCTCCCGTGTTAGTGCCGAGACACACAGACATTCCCGCCGAGTTACCCAAGCTGGACGACTACACGACGTCAATTCCAGAGAACACCAACTTCCCCGTCGGACTGGAGCCCCAGGGGAACTACATACCTGGTGAGTAACTGTCCGGACAGGCCCCGCCCAACCGCAACATCCATCCCACCCACATTGCAATCTCCCCTCAGGGTGTCCTGACCACACACGCTTGTCACCAAAATTGTGATGGTAATGTGGTGCTAATTTTTTGATATTTCCCCATATTTTTCCCCATCGTCTACTTAAACAGAAACCCCTCCTCCTGGTTACATCAGCGAGGATGGGGAAACAAGTGATCAACAGATGAACCATAGCATGGACACAAGTAAGTAAAAATAACTGTACTTGGCTGAAATATATTTGACAAGCATTTATCAATGTCTTTTTACTCATTCATGTTGCTGCCACAGTTTGTATTGTATCTTGAATTAAAGCTTTCGTGACTTTAGGAATTCATATTCTTTGTGTCTTTTGCATTGTACTGAAGTTGTTTGTTTTACTTTGCTTTCCATCAGGTTCACCCGCAGAACTTTCACCAAATCCGGTGTCCCCTGCCACTTCAGTTCAAGGTAATGTCAGCAACTGATTAACAATATCAGAGTGCAAGTCGTTTCAAAGCACTTGAGAACTTTTTTTTCTATAATGAGTCTTGGTCTTTAAAAGGCTTTCAAATTTCCCTGGTGCACTGCTTTTGTTCTTTTCTGTGAATTGTGTGCATGCTCATTTGTGCTTGAGGTCCTAGTAGCCCAAGTCCTCGCTGAGTGGAGCCACATGTCTCGATATTTTCCAGGCTCGGTGTCATCCGCTGACCTACAGCCCGTAACGTACTGCGAGCCAGCGTTCTGGTGCTCCATCTCCTACTACGAGCTGAACCAGCGCGTGGGCGAGACCTTTCATGCGTCGCAGCCCTCGCTCACGGTGGACGGCTTCACTGACCCCTCAAACTCTGAACGCTTCTGCCTCGGACTTCTCTCCAACATTAACCGCAATCAGACGGTTGAGATGACCCGCAGGCACATTGGTTAGCATTTCTCCCATAACACGAGCTGAAATGTTATTTTTTGGGGGTGGGGGGAGCGCGGGAGGGTTTCTGTTTAGGTGTAGCCGACTTCCTGTTATTGCCTTTTTTAATTTTACAGCTTGTGACCTGTTTAAAACTTTATGAACTGCACATTTTTGTGTTGTGAGTTCTAAAATTAAAAGTGGCAAGCCCTGTTGCACTTCCAGCCTGCAGTGTGTGAAGGATTGTGCTGTGTTTCCTACAGGGCGAGGCGTGAGGCTGTACTACATTGGCGGGGAGGTATTTGCGGAGTGCCTCAGCGAAAGCGCCATCTTCGTGCAAAGTCCCAATTGCAATCAGCGCTATGGGTGGCATCCTGCCACTGTATGTAAAATTCCGCCAGGTGAGACTCGTGTGTTATAATCATATGTCCTTGATTAGAGATGTTTTATGTTTTTTGTCTTAGAATTTGAACAACAGGTTCTGCTGCTGAATGAAATGGCTGTGTTCCTTTGTGATCTCTGCCCCGCAGGCTGCAATCTGAAGATCTTCAACAACCAAGAGTTTGCGGCATTGCTTGCACAGTCTGTAAACCAGGGCTTTGAGGCGGTATACCAGCTGACGCGCATGTGCACCATCCGCATGAGCTTCGTCAAGGGCTGGGGTGCCGAATATCGGTACGTTGACGCCGCAACGGGCAGCGTATTTGTATGGCTCTTGTGCGCGGGGGTGATGCACGCTTGTAGTCCAGTGAATTGCGGAGGTGGGGTTGGTGAATTGTGAAGTGTTGCATTGCATAGGAGTGAGACCCAAAATGCTGGCTAACTATGTGCCTTTATAGTGTGCTATTGGAGTAGGTTTGGCTGATTATTCTATATATATTCTTAGCTCTTTCGGTAAAGTCACGTTGACTTCAACGTGATTTTACCGAAAGAGCTAAGAATATGAATTACTGCAGTCACGAAAGCTTTAAATCAAAATGTATTCTATATATTATATAAAAATCTTGAATGGGAGTTTTTCTTCAGTTTCTGGATTCATCCCACATGGGGAAAGAAATATGACAAGGAATTGGCCTTGCATACCCAGCATGACCCTCATCAGTTGTAAACCGAGTGAGGTTTTAGTGAGTGTACATTTTAATCTTAATCTACCTCCTAATTAAAAAATTGTCGGTTCGAATACCACTTCCGAATTATTGAAAATATTCATAGGCGTTGGTGTAGTCTTGATTAAACTTTACACTGCTTGAATGATGATTTTAGGTAAATAAACCAACTACATTATTAATCTAATAGTAGCCCATTGAGACCAGAAGTATCTTAAAAGGTACACCTGGGGTAGTCTTAGCAGTAAGCTGTATCATTGAGGACTTTGGAGCAAGCAGATTCGTCCTAGCACAGGGGGTCACCAACCTTTCAAAGAAGAAGAGCCATGTTTTTGTCTTTGGCTAAAATAGAGCCACATCACACGAAGAGCAATTTGTATATATGCACAAACATAGCAGGTATACAACAGATGACAAACCAATTCTGACTTAAACAAAATAGATGATAGAATAAACTGCATATATTTAGTTTCTTTCTCCCTTAGTTATTTGTTAACAACAGTTTGTACATTTTGTTGTCACCAAGACATTCTCTAGTGACCCATTCCCTGACTATTTAGTCAATTATCTTTAATCTAAAAATAATTTTACGTAACTTTTTATATATATACGGCTGCCCACAAGGGGGCAGCCAAAGAGCCGCAAGGTGGAATCCAAATAGCCGCATGCGGCTCTAGAGCTGGAAGTTGCCGACCCTGTTCTACCACAACAGTATCATTATTCCAGCATAACTGAGCGTGGAGTAACTATTTCTGCTTCTCTGCCCCCCCCCCCCCCACCTTTGGTGGCAGGAGGCAGACTGTGACCAGCACCCCTTGCTGGATTGAGCTTCACCTCAATGGACCCCTACAGTGGCTGGACAAGGTGCTCACCCAAATGGGATCACCATCAGTCCGCTGCTCCAGCATGTCTTAGGAGATTTGCACCCCTCCTCTCTCCTCCCTCCCACTCCCTACTTCACCCAAGCTCTCCTGTCTACACCCCCTGCCCTCTGCCGCAGGCCATTACCACCCTCAATGGGTTGTGGCCTCGGGAGTTTTCATTGGTTGCACGACGGTTACTTTTAAACTGTTTCCTTGTTTTGTTTTATAGTTACACCGCTGCGTGGCAGCATCTCTGCAGGCCCATTGCAGTGTATTTATTGGGAAAAGCAAAAAAGGGTGTACATTTAACATAATACCTTTTATTAGCATACTGACAGTGACCACTGCCCAACTTTTAAGTCGGACACATGGTTTTTAAAGACGTGTGTAAATTTACAATGAGAGCATGAAATTGGGTATTGACACAATCTTCTCTCGAAAATAGTGTATCTAATAGAAAAATACTTGCTTGCAGTAGCATATTTCCCCATGAAGAAGGTGTAGTGAGTGATGTGTTGCGTCTTGAGGTGTTCAGTGTTTTCATTAGCAGTACCCTACCTAGCACAGGGCTCCCTAATCAATGGTGCAATAATGTAGTGGGGTATTGGTGTAATGTTATATAGTCTCCCCCTGCAATCCAGTGCCCATCGGGGTGGTGAGCACCTTTACCGCAAAAAGGTTGGAGAGCCCTGCCATGGACACAACACGCCATATGTTTTTTTAGAGTGGTATCAAAGATTAAGACCCCATTGTTGTATATAGTCACTCTAGTCTAATTGAACTCTTGATGGATTTTTTGAAATTCTATCATAAATGTTAATGAAGGGAAATCATCGTTGCATCATTGTGGATTTATCTCAATGAAGGAACAAACTACACTGCTAATGTTAACAAAGAATCTCAAATAAATTGATGACATAGTATACGCATTGAAAGGCACTTGTTATGCTCCAAATTTGTACTTGGCACCTTGGCTATGATGGTTGTTTCTTGTTATTTTTAAGAAACAATGTGTGTTTATATATGTGTGTGTTTTTTAAGTTAAAATCACACGGGTAGGTTTTGAGTTTTTTTGTTTATAGTTGAGCTTATTAGCTTCTTTAGATATCATTTGTCTTCGCAGTCCATGGTACATAGATTAACTTTTTTTGCCAACAATTAAATTTCAGCTTGTTCTGCCAGTATTTTTCCTCTCCTTCTGCTGCTCTGGATAGCTTATAGCCTAGCAACTTCACACATTACAAGTGAATCTGTTTTATAATTGCAAGGAAATGTCATAAAAATGTGACCATTTCCCATAATGATTGAGAAAATAACTTTAAAAGAAATCATGCTTTTCACAGCTACTCCTGATGGTAACTGCTAAAATACTGAAGTAGGCGCAACATTTTGTGAGACAGGATTGTGAATCGTCATCCACTCTCTGCCATCTCCCGCCTGCAGAGCAGGGCTTTGAACAACTTTGCATTCAGTCATGGGTGACCAGCATACAACTCGAGCCTTTGGCATTTGAACAGGTGTTGTCATGGAGCTAACTCGAGGTTGTTACATTTATGTTTAGATACAGCGCACATGCACAAATGGCTGTTTTAATTTACATGCCACTAGATCGTGGAATAGTGGAGTGGCCATCTTTTTAAGAGTTTTGATTTTTAACGTGGGCAACGATTCATTCAGTTTGTTTCATCTACTTCAGCTAAGTAGTAACTTTTAATGTCTTCCAGCCAGGGCAATTAAAATAACAGCACCAGAATCAGCAGTCTTTTATTTATTTAATTCTTTGCAATTTTAAGTATTCATGTTTAAGTAACCATTTAACTGTCAGGCAAGACCAATATCAAGCTGAAACGCATTGACCAAATTCACATGGTTTGCAACGGCAACCAAGGCTAGATGTTGTGGACACAGCCTCTGATCACGGGCGGGAGATTGACAGCCACATTCAGCCACCCCCTGGTTCAACTTCTGTTGACCAGTGTTCCAAATGTCCTGACGAAAACGGCGTTACCTCTTAAGTGCTATAGTCAACGGGTTTGAGACAAAACCTGCACAAGCATCCTTGCAGCACCTGTGCACAGGTAGAACTCATGCCCAATGGCATCCGACATTTCTATTGCTTGTGATGAATGGTGCGCTGCTGTACTTATTCTCGCAAAGTTCAATGGGAGTTTTTATTTTGTGAGTGCGCACTCGCGTAAAAAAATGCATCTACTAGTTCAGGTTAAAAAAAAATCTGTGTGCTGTATTGCGTCGTCTTTTATTCTGCACAGTTACAACTTTTTCATTGTATTATCTGCAGTATCTGCTTAAGATTAGATCATGCCATGTATCTGGAGAGATTTTAATTTTTTGTTTTGATTTAAAAATAAGTGTAGCATTGACTGTAGGGTGTAGGTACATTGCGGTCAGTTGTTAGCAATGTTGAATATATTTTTGCTTCCACCATTTCCCCCTGTACCAAATAAACTATTTGTTAATGAAGCTGAAAACGTATGTTTTATGCTCCTTTGTTAATTCATGTAGTCTAGCAGCATAACATTGGCGACCTCTTTGTCTTAACATTGGTAATTAAGATAATATATTTGAATTCTTGAGCCATATTCTAAAAAAATAATATACACGTATTTTTGCATGAATCGGCTAAACACAATTGTTTTTTGTTCTTGTGCTCCACTGCCAATGCAGCATATCAAACTTTGTTTATCTATTTTGGTTCTTTCGGTAAAGTCACGTAGAATGAGAATAAAATAATAAAATAACACATTCTCACGACGTTTTGGCCACAACGCAAGCGGGCGTCTTCAGGTGAAAGGTACAGACCTGTCGGGACGACAGAGCTTCAATGAACGATGTTAAGATTCGTAGCGACTTTTAAGCTTTGATTTAAAGCTTTCGTGACTGCAGTAATTCATATTCTTAGTTTTTTCGGTAAAGTCACGTTGAAGGGAAACAAAAAAATAATAAAATATATATAAAACAATAAAAAATTCTCACGACGTTTCGACCATAACTCAAACGGTCGTCTTCAAGTGTGTTGGTTTGCATAAATTTATTTTTAAACGGCGCATTTATTTATTTATAAAAACGTTAGCGCCACGCGCAACGATTTGGCAGTTTATTTAGGACTAGTCCATCTATATTCTGAAAAGAGGAGGGGGGAGACAAAATTTTTTATAATGTATGCTGTCTGAAAGCCACTAAGCGTGAACAATCAATTAAGACCTGAAATGGTTTATCAAATCTTTCCAATGATTGCTAAGATAGAATCCATCTTCTCGGTTGAAATTGTCTCTGTGCTTGTATATGTGGATAGCCTCATGAACGAATCTCTCATGGAAGCCAGATGGCTTACAAAGAACCTCTGTCTTGGAAAAGTCAATGGCATGTGAGCCTACTGAATTAGAACAATGATCTGCCACGGCCGAGGTGTTGGTCCTACCGTGACCTTAAACACTACCACACTTACAGTGGCTTTCAGACAGCATACATTATAAAAAATTTTGTCTCCCCCCTCCTCTTTTCAGAATATAGATGGACTAGTCCTAAATAAACTGCCAAATCGTTGCGCGTGGCGCTAACGTTTTTATAAATAAATAAATGCGCCGTTTAAAAATACATTTATGAAAACCAACACACCTGAAGACGACCGTTTGAGTTATGGTCGAAACGTCGTGAGAATTTTTTTTATTGTTTTATATATATTTTATTATTTTGTTGTTTCCCTTCAACGTGACTTTACCGAAAAAACTAAGAATATGACTTTTAAGCTGTTTGGGAGAAGTGAGGCACCTTGACACAGGGGTTTACATCAAATAACTGAGGGATTAGCTTGTGACTGGTCACAGAAATAGCTATGTTAAAGTCAAAGCCTACACATTTACAGAGGCACCTTGTACATGGACGCCAAAGGGGGCTGCAACAACTCAACTGTCAAATTTCGATTTAAAGCTTTCGTAACTGCAAGGATTCATCTTCTTTGGCTCTTTCGGTAAAGTCACGTAGAATGTCATACAGTAAACCGATGTGAAAAACCTAATTCTAAATTACATTAATATAATGTACTCAATATATTCTTCAATAAGCTGAGCTATTAACATTAACTGGGTATACACTACACTATATAATGAATACCATATAGTAAACCAATAAAAACTAAAATATAAACTACCTCAATGTATATCACAATGTTATACTGGTAGGAACGAAGTTGTAAACTGAGTGTACCAGCCTGCAATAGATTAATGTGTCCATCCGTCCATCCCCTTTCAATACTTTAACGAAGTGAAATCTCGTGCTGTTGGGTATAAAATCAGCAATAGACAGCGCAGAGACTTGTCCTACCAGCCCACCCTGCAGGGACCTGTTATGGTGAAAAAACGGGTGGATTCTTACCTTCCACTTCAGCACCACGGACAGCTACGTTCAGACGGACGGGTCCATCCATGGTTGGAGCGGAGGAGGAAGGAGGGGAGAAACAGCTGCGAGGCGATGTTATACTCCATGTTATAAACCATACCATTAACCGTAGTGTGAGAGGTATTAAGAGTCAGTGCCAACGAAAGAGCTGCGGTCTGAAGGTCCTCGTAAAATACAATTAATTAAGAACCGAAATGGTTTAAAACATCTTTCCAATGGTTACTCAGCCAGAATCCATCTTCTCGGTTGAAATTGTCTGTGTTTGTATATGTGGATGGCCTCATGAACGAATCGCTCATGGTAGCCGGTTGGTTTGCAAAGAACCTCTGTCTTGGAGAAGTCAATGTCATGTGAGCCCACTGAATTATAACAGTGATCTTCCACGGCAGAGGAGTTCGTTCTACCGTGTTTCAAGTCTGCTTTATGTTCGCGGATGCGCTCCGAGATATGTCGTTTGGTTTCTCCAATGTAGCTACTACCACAGAGGCACTTTAGTTTATAAACGCCCGGGTACTGTATGTCTGGAACGGCATCTTTTACAGATGGAACCAGATCACGGATTTTATGTACTGTGTTGAATCGGACCTGGATCTTGTGTTCAGGATTTTGGATATATTTTTAGTGACCCCTGCAATGTAGGGTGAGGTGATGGTTTTGAGTGGCTCCACAAGAGGATCCTTCTTCCTGACTGGAGTGATGGCTTTGCGGATTGTGTAGTCGGAGTAACCATTAGCTCTGAGAGCCTGGCGTACGTGCTTGAGTTCACTGGTAATGTGTTCCTGGTCGGAAATACATTGGGCTCTATGGTATAGAGTCTTGATGAGTGAGTTCTTCTGGGATGGATGGTGGTGGGAATCCGGTTTCAAGTAAGCATCTTAACACGTAGGCTTTCGCGACCAATATTATTCATAATAAAGGTTTTGGGTTAGATCGCGTTTATTTATAAATGTGTCGTAACCCTCCACCACCCGACACGGCCAATCAGCAAAAAAAAGTGTCACGTTGACAAAAGACAAATAATTCACTACTTCGCCAGAATTGCCCGATGATGCTGGATGTATTTACCAGATGTATTTACTCTTTTTATTTTTGTATAGCTGCCATCGTTGAGTAGTTCTTGAATTTTGTTGTTATATTCTGTTTTGTCCATGATGACAGTGGAATTGCCCTTGTCGGCTGAGAGGACGACAATATCATCGGTTTACTGTATGACAGTTGAGTTGTTGCAGCCCCCTTTGGCGTCCATGTACGAGGTGCCTCTGTGGATGTGTAGGCTTTTACTTTAACATGTATTTCTGTGACCAGTCACAAGCTAATCCCTTAGCTATTTCAATGCGAAATTACTAGTTGCCTCTGTGGATGTGTAGGTTTTGGCTTTAACATAGCCATTTCCGTGACCAGTCACAAGCTAATCCCTCAGCTATTTGATATGTAAACCCCTTTGTCAAGGTGCCTCACTTCTCCCAACCAGCTTAAAAGTCGCTACAAATCTTAACATGTTCATTGAAGCTCTGTCGTCCCGACAGGTCTGTACCTTTCACGTGAAGATGGCTGCTTGCGTTGTGGCCGAAACGTCGAGAGAATTTTTTGTGTTATTTTATTATTTTATTATTTTATTATTTTATTCTCATTCTACGTGACTTTACCGAAAGAACCAAAGAAGATTAATCCTTGCAGTCACGAAAGCTTTAAATTGAAATTTAAACTTTGTTTAAACACGCAATTTTCTTTGCATATGCAAAACAAAACGCTGCAAATCATGTGAACAACTTATAAAATTGTTTTCCAAACTATAAACACATCTGGTCACCTTTTGGAATCCACTGCTACTTGTACCTGCACTAGATTACACAAAGCACGTGCAGTTAAAATCGTTTGCATCTAACATTTTCCAGATTAGTGTAGCCTAATGCAAACACTTTTGTTGGTGTTGGAGCTGGTTAGCCTTGATAAAGAAAAATGTATTGAAAAGCCCTGGTAAAAGTAGTTGTAAAAGGCGAACGTGACGAAAAAATTGGATAAGACGAGATTGATGGACAGACACGCACAAAAACTTACCCCACCATCAGGAGCACTGCTTTTCAATAGATACAGATAATAGGGTACTGACCTCGGAATTAGGACCGTTGCCCCAAACATTAGGTCAGTTTATATATTAACGAGTTATCGCTGTTGCACGTTAAGCACATTCATACCGTCAAGAAAAAGTATTGCACGAAATGTTGCCAGTTTCGTCGGGATATGCGTACCACCACCCATTCTTATGAAAAATGTTTAGCTTGTTTTTACCACAGACCTAAAAAAAACGATGAAAAGCACAAGGAAGATAGCAACTAAATTTCCCAAGTTTGTGGAGGAGACTTCAAGATTTAAACTTTGTTAATTTTAAAAAAATAAACTTGCCATTTTCAATTTTTTGAAACTTACAATACCTTTCCATGGCGTGCGCAGTGTTTGGAGAAATGTACGTGCAATATATTGACTGAGCAAAAGTGGTATTGCATTAGTGTGCAGCAACTTCCCACTAAAACAGAGGCAATACTGGGATATCGCGAGGTGAGCCATGTTTAATTTACGTTTCATCTAAAGACCGTAAGTGCATGTAGTTTGCAGGATACAGTACTGTGAAATTTCGAATGACATGCCCATCAAATTTTAGCTTTCAGTTGGATGAAATACCCATGTGAGCAACAAAATCTCCAAAGGAATTAATTTAAATGCAAGGTTTAGTTCCAAAACAAATGTGTATACAATCTTGCAAAATGCATGAACTAGACATTTCGAAATTCGAACAGTTACGATTCTTATATAAAGTAACTTGATGCTTTTCTCCGTAGCAATATACATTGTTCTGTCAATCACACTGACTGCAGAAAAATCACTGCAATTGTTCGTAGAACATGACATCTCGATGAAAATTGAATTGTGCTTTCTAATGTCCTCCCCAGTCCACTTAAAGGCTTGACCCTCTGGACAACGCATCAGCTTTCATTTTCGGGGGTAATTTATTTAAGAAAAATCTCAATACAGCACATCATGCAATCCTGTACTGTACGAATTTTTTTTGGGTTGA